GTGGAGTAATTCGGAATATTTGGCCTCGGTAGCGTGGTTGGGTGGGCCACTAGCTTGTGCGGGCCACTAACTTGTGGATTACGTTATCTACAATACTGCTGCTACTTAAAGAGCTCCTTCTATTAATAGAGCTAAAGAATAATGCTAATATCTATTGCTATACACAGCTAACAGGCTCTATCGGATATATTGCTGGCGCCACAAGACCCGACGTTTTAAAAGCTCACTTAAAGCTAGCCGAATTCTTAATTAATCTATTATAACAGCATCTCAACGCTGCCTATTAAACGCTCGCATATCTACAGGATATAAAAGCTTAAGCTCTCTACTATAATGCCTTAGTACCCGTCGACACCGCATATATTATCGATTTAGAAGAACCCGACTTCTTTAGAGCTACTAATGCTTTATATACCGATTACAAAACCACACAGAAAAGCTTACAAGGCTATATCTTCTTCCTGTTTGGCGGCCCTATCGATTGGAAAGCCACGCTACAACATTGCGTGACCAAATCAACTACCGAAGCAGAGCTTATTGCCGCTTCCTTAGCCGCCACAGAGCTTATATGGTGGTGGAGGCTTTTCAAATCCATCGATTTTGAGCTAGATAACGACCGAGTTCTATATTGCGATAATCAGCAAACAATTCGCTTGATTCAAGCAGCCACACCAAAGCTTAAGACAACGCTTCGACACGTTGACATACACCATCATTGGCTACGTCAAGAAGCTCAAGCAAAGCAAATTGATCTGGCATACATCCAAACAAAAGCACAGCCAGCCGATGGCCTCACAAAGCTTTTACCTCGACAGCGACACGAGAATTGGGTCTCACAACTTCACTTCGATGAGTTTCCAAGCACACAATCTGCGCCTCAAGCCGCTCCTCAAGCCGCTTCTTAAGCTAACAAATCCATAGCATAACTATACAATCAAAGGGGCGAAAAGCTTCATACCAAACGAGCGCAAAGCTTAACCACCAAACCATTGGCATCAATGGACGAGCAAAAGCTCACACCAAACCATTGGCAACAATGGACGAGCGAAAAGCTCACAACCAAACCATTGGAAACAATGGACGAGCGAAAAGCTCAAACCAAAGAAGCGAAAAGCTTCACCAACCAAACGAGCGAAAAGCTCAAACAAAACGAAGCGAAAAGCTTCACATATACAGCTCTCACGAGCACCATACCACGTCAACAGCTACTCCAGCTTCTACATTACATTCAAATCTGAGGGGGTGTGTAAGCCTAGAGGCACCAATCAACGCAGGACTTGGCGTCCAGCACATCTATATATACGTGCCTACGCGCACCTCCACAATACACACACATAACCACTCTCTCACATCTCGTGCACCCATGCTCGTGCCCCCACAAGCTTACACTATTCCATGAGCATACAAAGGATCGCACGATTGGCACGCATCGGCTGCTTGTGCTGGATGGCCACGGCAGCCACGTTAACCCCGAATTTGATTAATTCTGTATGGAGCACAACATTGTTGTTATATGCATGCCAGCCCATTTGTTGGATTTGCTGCAGCCGCTTGATATAGGCTGTTTCTCGACGCTAAAGCAGGCCTATGGACGTAGCGTTGAACAGCTTATGGGCCGCGGTGTCAACCACATCGATAAACACGAATTCCTGCCGCTATATAGGCAGGCCAGGCAAACAGCGCTACATTAAGATAATATACAGGCAGGCTTTGCAGCCACTGACCTCGTTCCATATAGCCCTGAGCGCGTGCTATCGCAGCTGCATGCCGAATTTCAGACGCCATCACCCCAACGCCGTCCACCGTCCTTAAATGCATCTTTGGCAGCCGAAACACCTTACAATATTGCTGAGCTACAGAAGCAGACAGCCTTAATAAAGCGCTATTTCCACCGGCATATGCATAGCCTATTAAGTAAAGCAGAACAAGCCCTTAGCGGGATCGTTAAGGGGTGTGAAATAGCGATGTTAAACGCTGTGCTGCTTGCAAGCGAACTTAAGACGGCACGCATAGAAAATAAGCGCCAGAAACAAAAGAGGGCAAGGAAGCGCAAGTATGTAGCTAAAGGAGGGGTTCTATTAGGAACAGAAGTGGCCTCTCGTGCACAAGCTGCCCAAATAGAGGCAGAGGAGGCGCCAGCAGCAGCGTGCAAAACCTAGGTGCAGCATGTGCGAATCAACTGAACACAACGCACGTACGTGCCCTAGACGGCAGGCAACCAGCTAGTAGATAGCTACACTAAATACAATCGTTCGTGGTTGAGCAATTCGCAATATTCGGCGTGGCGGCTTGGTGGGGTGGGCAGGATGCCCGCACGGGCAGCTTGCCCGCAGAACACGTTAGTTTGTCGTGTTTGGAATAAAGTATTTCTCCATTAACCGAATAGCCTCGTTATCATAACCTCGACCCTTCAAGGTAAATGCGAGATTTTCCATGCTGGTTAGTATGTCTAGATGCTCTTATCCAAGCGCCTCTTTCTCGTCTACAAAACTTTCTTCTCTAGTTCTTCAGCCTCGTCCCATCGCCCTTGATCACGATATGTAATCACCAGGCCAGAAATGCTACTAAGTGTACGTGGATGCTCTTCTCCAAGCACTCTCTCTCTTGTCTTCAAAACTTGACTCCCTAGCTGCTCGGCCTCATTCAAGCGCCTTTGCTCGCCGTATGTAATCGCTAAAGCAGACATACTAGTAAGAGTATCCGGATGCTCTTCTCCAAGCACTCTCTTTCTTATCTCTATTACTTCAAGGAATTGATGTTCAGCCTCATTCAATTTCCCTTGGTCGCGATATGTCATCGCTAGGCCAGATGCGCTCGTTAGCGTGTCTGGATGCTCTTCTCCAAGCGTCCTCTTTCTCACGTCTAAAACTTTCTTCTCCAGCTCTTCAGCCTCGTCCCATCGTCCTTGTTCAAAGTAGGTCGACGCTAAAGCAGACATACTAGAAAGAGTATCCGGATGCTCTTTTCCAAGCGCCTTATTTCTCATCTCTAAGGCTTTCTTCTCCAGCTCTTCAGCCTTATTTAATCGCCCTTGATCGCGGTATGTAATCGCCAGGTCAGATGCGCTCGTTAACGTGTCTGGATGCTCTTCCCCAAGCACCTTCTTCTTCATCTTCCAAACTTCCATCTCCAGCTCTTTAGCTTGTTTCAAACGCCCTTGGATCCAGTACGTTTTAGCTAGTCCAGCCATGCTATTCAGCGTATCTTGATGCTCCTTTCCTAATACATTTTCCATTATTTCCTTCACCTTCAATCCTAGGTCTTTGGCTTTCTCCCATCCCCCCTGATCACGGTATGTCGATGCAAGGTTAGCCATGATAGCTAGAGTCTGCAGACCCTTCTTCCCCAGCACCCTCTTTCGTATTTCCAGATCATCGGGCTCCTTTGAGTGCAATCCATTGCGGGGTGTCAAGGGACGGTCTCTTTGCCCAACTAGCAAATTCAAAGCCTTTTCGATATCCCCTATCTCTGCCTTATATTTCGCGTCCTCCACTAGCTCTACAGCAGCTCCCCATTTACCTTGGCTGCGGTATGTTGAGACCAAATTCGCCATACTACTCAGCGTATGTGGATGATCAGATCCTAACACCTTCTCTCTTGTCTCCAGAACTTTCTTCTCTAGCTTTTCAGCCTCTCTCCAACGCCCTTGACTCCAGTACGTCGATGCTAGAATGGCCATGCTTATCAATGTGTCTGGGTGTTTATCCCCTAGCCGTGTCTTTCTCAATTTCAATACCTGGTCTTCCAGCTCTTCAGCATCCTTCCATCGCCCTTGATCGCTAAGCATCGACGCTAGATTGGCCATGCTGGTTAGAGTGTCTGGGTGATCCTTTTGTAGGCGCTCCTTTCTCCTATTCACCACTTTTAGCTGCATTTCTTCGGCCTTCTCCCATTGCCCTTAATCATGGTACTTCGATGCTTGGATGGCCAAGTCGATTAAATCGTCATCCGCTCGGAAGACGTCCGCACGTAGGATGGACCATTCGATCTCCATTCTACTTGAGGAAATACTATAATGTTCTCTGTTTCGAGTCTGGTCCTTCAATGGAATATCGAGCCTCATGATGGCCATATCTGACTCAGGGTATCTGTTATCTTTCTTACTTCCACTAAACACTGTTTTTTCTTCCCCCGCCTTAAACCGGACTCCCACGAAGTTCTCATCGGCACCGGCGGGTCTCTGACCAGGTAGCCCTAAATAAAGGAGTGCGCCAATAGGAATAGACGTCGTGGCAACGCTTTGGCTTTGGCTTTGGCTTTCTTTCTCTTTTACATCTCCGAAAAGATAAAGGTCCATGAGCGATTTGAGAGTCCAAGTTATTAAGACGTCTTGCTCGTAGCGAGTTAAAGACTCCCTTTCAAGAGGTAGTTCGTGATGTCTTTTATGCAGTGGAACAAATCTTTCCTCTTCGAGGATCGCGACACTCCAGTGAATCTTTCCGTCGCTGCAACTTCTAGGATGCCAACCTCCAATATATCCTTGCAACCGAGCTGACTTGGTCCGTTGTACCCAAACTTCTGTCATTATATCTTAGTAAAGAAGAGTCTTATTGGCGATCGAAGCTTACCTGAGTTCTTTTGCAACGTTTTACGCGGCATTCGGATCGTGATCTCGAGTTTCTCCAATCCATTTAGCAATGACGGGTTGGAACGCGTCCGCGATACGCTGTCTTCCATAATCAAGGCACGAACAGCGTTCTCATTGAAATTGACATCTCCTTTCAGCTGTGAGATCATCCACACCAGCGTGATGTTAGCTAGAGTTGCGTCCTTGTTTCCGCCTCCAACGTCACTGTGAGTGCCGCGAAACCAGTACTGCTCCAACTGATGGCCTTCCTTAGGCTTCCACAGAAGAGGTTTGAAGTGTCTTCGGTCCTCATCAAGGGCCAACGCCTGTATGGCCCGTTTAACATTTGGCCAAATCTCTTCTGAATTGACGAAAGAGAGCTTCTTAAATTCCGGCTGCGCAACGTGGGCAGGCATTCTGAAACCAAGAGAAGCAACTGTGTCTTAGACTGCACAAGCTTTGATTTGCACAGTGGGTGTTAGCAATTCCCTGTCAATCAGGTCATTACGTAACTTCTTAATCTTCTCGCTAAGTTTGTTTTCTTAAGGTGGTTGAGACTCCTCGCCTCCCTTGGGCTGCTTTTCCCACAAGCTGTATAGTTCGCCGAGGAATCGAAGTCCCGTACTCCTGAGTAATCCGATGTCGTTTATTATTTTGGCAACAGCACGAACGGTGAAGGCTCCTCGAGAGAAACCTATAAGTACTATTTCGTCGCGTGTATCCGAGTAATTAGTGCATATAAATTTATACGCCTCACGAATATCATAATCGATCCCTAACCAAGAATATCAGCGTTCTATACTTCTGGTCAAAAACGTGCGTTTCAATTCTACAAGATAAAAAGAACTCATATTCACCTCTGCCTACAATTTGGTCCCTCCAATTCGCCCATCTTGATGTGCCTGTGCCTATCCCGCGCATATAGAGAGTGATCTGCACGAAATCGCCATGCGTTGTATTGTCTATGCATCGAGAGATTCGAGCAACATTCGTCAATGCTTCGTCTTCACTGTCATTAGACGTTCCGTCACAGCATATGATAAGCCGTTTTCCCTGCGTTGTATTTTCGCTTGACATTGTTGCCGAGCTGTCCTTCGGGCAAGCTAAACTGGCGTATCTTGTAAGCAATGCACATATGAAGAGGTGAGAAGAAGATGTTGGAGGTGCAGGCAGAAGGTGATCGTAAGATGTCAATATGAGTAGGAAATTCTTTAAAGAATCATAAGTATATTGTACATGCCACTGGCTGCCCATGTATGTGGTTGCTTACGTGGTGGTGGCTGCGTCTTCCGGTGAAACGAAAATGGATTCATGCCTCGCTACTGCAGCAACACGTGTCTGCCAACGAAGCGGATGAGGTCTGCAGCATCGACTACCTGCACATGCGCCACAACTCCTCCGGCATGTATAATTGGGCAGGTAATAAGCTACAGACATAAACTTCAAATTTCGAGTCTGTCAGCTTCTGCCACCAGTAGCAAGGAGGACGGCCGAAAGCCCCGGTGTTGTAAGCTCTAACTATGGTTTAACGTAATCCACCAGGTAGTGGCGCCCACCAGGTAGTGGCGCGCCCATCAAAACTCGCGACAATAAAAACACGAATTGCTCAACCACGAATAATTGTATTTAATGCAGCTATCTGCTAGCTAGTTGCCTGCCGCCTAGGGCACGTGCGTGCATTATGTTCTGTTGATTCACACATGCTACACCTAGGTTTTGCACGCTGCGGCCGCTCGCTCGCTGCCTCTGCTGCCCCCGCTGCCCCCTCTGCTACTACATTCTGCGCAGCTTGTGCACGAGAGGCCCCTTTTGCTTCTAATAAAACACCCCCCCTAGCTACATACTTGCGCTTCTTTGCCTTCTTCTTTTTCTGGCGTTGGTTCTCTGCCCGTAGCTTCTCAATTTCGCTAGCAAGCAGCGCGGTGGTTGACATCGACATTTCGCATGCTTTTGTAAGCTGGCTAAGTGCACGGTCTGTTGGGCTCGGCGGGCTATGCGTGCGCTGTTTAAGATAGCGCCTTATTAAGGCGGCCTGCTTTTGTAGCTCGGCGATATTGTGGGGTGTTTGAGCTGCTGAGGATGCTTTTGATTGTGGATGTTCGGGTGGTGGTGGTGTCTGATAATCTGTATGTAGCCGTGATAGCACGCGATCGGGGCTGTATGGCACAAGGCCAGTAGCTGCGAATCCTGCCTGTATATTGTTTTGATGCAGCGCCGTTCGCCTAGCCTGCCTATATAGCGGCAAGAATTCGTGTTTGTCGATGTGATTGACGCCGCGGCCTATAATCTGTTCAACGAGGCGTCCGTAGGCTTGCTTAAGCGGCGAGAAACAGCCTACATCAAGCGGCTGCAGCAAATGCGAAGAATGCGCCGGCATGCATATCGTAATGATATTATGCTCTAGGCAGAATTGGTCGAATTCAGGGCTTACGTGGCTGCCGTGGCCATCTAACACAAGCAGCCGATGCGTGCCAACGGTGCGATCCTTTGTATGCTCATGGAACAGCTTTATCCAGACAAGGCCAATCTCATTTGTTGTCCAACCGTTTTCGCTAACGCCGATTGACCAATCGTGTGGAATAATGTTGTCCTCATACCAAGCAGCTTGGTGCATCAACGCTTCGAAGATAATGAGCGGTGGAATATCACCCCCTAATGCATTGATGCACTCAATGATTGTAACCCATTCTCGATTGCCTGGCTGTATTGTCCTAGGCCGGCCGGCTCGATCGGTTCCGGTAACAACTTTTGCAGTTGCAATAATGCCCATTTGGAAGCCAGTCTCATCGAAGTTCCAAGTATCATTATCCAGAATCCCGTATTGTATCTTTATGTCTTGAATGCGTTTGAACCAGCCCTGAATAAGTACAGGATCCTCGCATTTGGCGCGCTGATAATCGTACTTGCGGTTGAATTTGACTTGAAGGTCGTCGTGGCGCTTAATATATCTTGATACCCAATTTGGGCCAACAGGAAGGGGGGTAGGTGATCCAGCCTTTTGCGCAGCTAGAATACCAGCCATCTCCCGTACAATCGCGATTTGAGGTGGCATTCCGCGTTGATCTCTCGATAGAATCCACTGCCTAAGACTCTCTTCTTGTGTAGCTGTGAGAAGGCGATTGGGTGCATGATGGCCGCGTTGTGGTTCGATCCCGGCGACGCGTCGCCGGGCTGTTGTTGGAGGTACATCGTACGCTTTTGCAGCGGCCTTAAGAGTCTGAATTTGGCCTTGCTTGAAAGCTTGAAGAGCGAGAGTTAATCTGCCCTCTCTATGCACAGATTCTTGTTGTTGTGGTGGAGCCATTGTAGTAGTAATAGAAAATCGCGTTACGCGTTGCGGAATTTTAATGGGGCGCGCCACTACCTGGTGGGCGCCACTACCTGGTGGATTACGTTATAATTAAGGCTAACAAGTGTCTACGCTGTTTATTCACGCCTACTAAGGATGTCTACAACAACCCTAAGCTTGCATACGCCTACGGCGCGCCTAGCGCACCACAACAATATACAACCCTTTGCGAGCAGGCAGATACACGGCTGGCAGCTTTACTAGCAGCAGAGGAGGCCTATTATGTTAATGACGACCTATCAGCAGAACAGCAGCGCTGTAAAGCTGCTGAGGAAGCAGTTATAGATGGCGCAATAAACCTGGATTTAGATGAGGACGAGGATGAGGAAAACGGGCTGCATGTCACGTGTAAGTTCAACCTTAACACCAAAACTACCTCGCGCTAACTACTATAGGTAATATGGAGCTCCTGGAGCTCCTGGAGCTCCACGAGCTTTCTGCTGGACTGGAGTGGAGCGATTTCCAAATCCACTCCACTCCACTCCAACAAGATCACTGTCCATGTCTGGCCACATCGTAAACATCCCGCAGCTCCAAGCGGGCTACAACGCTGCCATAGGCCGGCGTGCTCCATCTCCGCCGCTCGCTCGCCGTTGGGTGGGTCGCCTTCGCTACTTAACAGTGTCTCGCCAGGGTACATGGCGACCGAGATCTCGGACTTTCTACCGCAGGCTCCTAAAGACATCTGGGAGAGTAAGATTTTCATTGGGCGGAAGGGCCAGGCGGGAGAGCTTAAGGGAGCTTTTTTATATTTAGCCAGTGATGCGTCGAGTTATACAACTGGAGCGGACATGTGGTTGACCGGGGTTATTGCTTGCCTTGAGAGCGGATGAATGACTGGTTGGGTATGCTTTCTGGAGGATGTGTTTTCGGCCGGTTTCTACTATCTCTTGATTCTGGATCTTGATTTCGGGTTATCTGCTAAGTTCTAGATTCTATAGTCTCAAATCGCTTTGCTCCAGGCTTCCTTTTTTTTATGAAAGTTGCGACTCTAAGGCCGCTACACCGTCGCTTAGAGTTAGTTCCTCAACTTGAACACATCCCACAGAATCTGATTATGGATTGTAGATTCATAACAAGGTCGTTAAGAATTAACGTGTTGTATGTAACGGCTTCTAGACTATAAGGTGCATTCTAATATCTACAATGGATCCCCCTTATCTGCATAGTACTTCTCAGACTGTAATATACTCGCCTCTAACGATTTTATGCCCTTCTTTACCATTTCCAATTCCTCTTCCATCTCGTTCTTCGTAGTAACAGCATTCGACCGCAGCTCACGCATCCACTGCTTGATTAAGGCAAGGTGCTCCTTCTCCTGCACTAGAATCTCCTTCGACCTAGCAACCCTCTCCTGCTCCCGCTCCCGTTCACCATGCCTCGGTAACGGCCTACAGCCTCGTTCAGCACACAGCCGGTCGACTTCGTTCCTGGAGCTCCGGACGGCTGTTTCGTCGAAGATCAGTTTCGCTTCCTGGATCTTGAGGGACTTCCTGAAGTCCTCTTTCTGCTCCGCCGTCGTGTCCTTTGACGCAATCCAATTACGGGTCCCACTTATGCTGCTGTGCTGCGACTCCAACACCGATTCCAGCTCTCGCAACTCCCAGAGCGGTAGATCCTCATCCGGCAAACATACACCGCCAGGACAGAGCCTCTCCGCCTTCTCCTCTGCCTTCAGAAGATCCCGGACCCGTCTTTGATCTTTATACTCCTCTTTCCGAAGCGCGAACTCAATAGAATACCGCTGATCATCCGTCTCTGCCAAACCGAGGTCATGGCGTAGGCGCTCAGCCCGCCGATCGGCATATTTACCCCAGCTCTTTAGCGTCTCCACCTCCCTTAGAGGCTCCTCGAAAAAATATTTGCACCGATCCCTCGCATCCATCCTCACCCTCTCAACCTCAAAAGCATCACTATCAAAACTCCCAGGCCATCCACACTTCCTATAAAGCGCCCTCAACGCCTCCTCCCAGAACCCGGGACTATGCTCCCCGCCCCCAGGGATCTCCTCCAGGCTCATATAACGCGCGACCACATCCCTCAAGACGTCCCCCGCAGGCCGACTGGGCACATGGTCGTAGTTCATCCGATTCGCCGACACCGGCTCCCCGGCCTCCACACCCCTGAGCGCCCGGTCCGTACTCCAGCCGGACTCCTGGTCGATGATCCAGATGCGATGCTTGCGCGCATCGTAGATGAGCACGCTCTGGTGGTTCCCCATCATGCTCAGCGGCGTCACCCACGGGCGGATGTACTCGCCGTCCTCGCCGTCCCAGTCGCCCTTCCCGCCGTTGCTCTCCCACCCCGAGTACAGTGGGTCCCGGCTCTGCCGCACGTCGTCTTCGGCCCGGAAGTCGGCGAATTCGCCGCCGTGGATGAAGTCTGGGCTCTCGACCTCCGTCTTGTCCACGTACGGCAGCAGCTGGTGGAGGCGGATGACGAGCGGGTCTAGCGAGCACTCGGCGGCGAGGGTGAGGTTGATGCCCGGGTTGGTGTGCGGGGCGCGCTTGATGGCGGAGGCGGGCATGTAGCGCATTTTGGCGAGCGTGGAGTAGATCTCGTCCATCAAGTCAGCGACTTCCTGGAGGTTGGCCTCGGCGCTTGGGCGGTGCGTGGGGATGGTGGACATGATGGAGGCGGAGTTGTGGTAGACGACCAAGAGCACTAGGACGAGAAGAATGAGAATGGTTCGTAGGCGTGGTGTTCGGCGTCGGGGGAGTGGGTTTGAGGTTGGATTTGGGAGTGGTGAGTATCGTTTTGTATGGCTGGACATGATTACGTCATAAAAGGTATGAATATGGCTCGTCGTGCTTATATATGCACCTAGTGGTTTGCAGTCTCTACCAGTCCAAGCAAAATGTAGCGATCTGGACGTTTTTATCTTGGGTTTGCGATTTCCGCGACATCCGTGATGTGGAAGTGCACTCATGTTGTTGAAGAAAAGTACCCCTAACCCCACATCCTAGCGGCTTGGCGGGTACTACCAACAGCACAGACCACACCTCGTTCATTCGGTCTGACTTTCATCCTCCGGGCTTCCCTTTACCACCCTAAAAACACCTATCCGCACCTCCTACACTATGGCCTTGATTCTTCAATATCCGCATCCATCTCATCGGCCATGTCCTCCTCAAAAACCCCTCCCTCTCCCGCAATCTAACACCCCTCGAACAATTCGTCTTATCTCCCCTCAAATACTACCCGATTCCTCTACGCCTACCTCTTCCCCTTTCGCACGCGGCGTCCCCCGTCTGATCCCTTGATCCTATTTATGTAGTTTGTGTATTACACAAACATAACCGCGCCCCCTCGGTCCCGGACGGCAATCTGTTGATGCATACTGGGGTTTTAACGGAAAGGGGTGCGCTGGGGAGTTACAGGAATAGGCAAATTAGTTAGAGGGATTGCCGCGTTGGTATAAAATCGTGATAGTGGGCAACTATGATAGCTAATTAAGCCCAGTATCAAGAGCCATGCAGAGGCCTGAAGACCGAGGCGGCGAGCTCGATTGGAAGATCGGCCCGGTATTCCGGAAGCCCTTAATGGCCTCCTCGTGTCTTTAAATTCCAGGTCTCCACTTCGGACAAAGTTGGAGTCTAACCCTAGGGCTGTGGGAAGAAATTTGCTGGTGAGAAGCAACTAAACGAAGCTAACAGTGTTAGAAAGGCCAACAGAGAGGTCTCATGCCGTGCGCAGCTTGTTTTATTAGAAAAATATATCATTAACGATAAGTCACGTGATAGAATATATACATCATACATCCCTTTGGCGATGTCTGCTCTATGCCGCTTCTTCCATCACAACAGTCAATTCATGGAAATACGGGAGATGTAAGACGTAAACACGAACGCTGAGAGGCTTGAAATGGCAAACGTGGAAAGACGGAGTGCGTGGATATCGGCCAAAAAAAAACCTACATAAACTCTGAGAACAGTAAAAAATAAGCATGACACATAGTTTACCGTCAATACATACCCCTCATCGGTACTTCCGAATTCCTCTTAGCTCTTTTCTTATTTTTTTAAGACCGCCAGGTCACATACAAAGTCAAGATGGCCACGATTAATCCAATTATCCCTATCACTGTTCCCACAATCTCGGGGGTACCGAATTGTCTACCTCCGCCAGGATTATTATTGTTTCCAGACGTCGGTAATAACGTCGATGACGGCGCAGATGAGGATGTTGTGCTAGGAGTGGAACCATTTCTTTGGAGACTAGATATCGCGAAGGTCGAGGTTGCTATTAATGCGCTGCTCGGAGGTGCAGAGTCCACGAAGGATAATGTCGGACGTGGAGTGCTTGAGGGAGATGGCGCCAGGCTTGGCGAGCTCTGAAGCGGTGTCGATGTTATAGTTATACTAAGGCTCGCGGCGGCTGGCTGGTGCTCTGCGTGGATAAACACCCATCAACCTCCATCCATGCAACATCCATACAGCCGGAAGCAAGGCCACCACGCAGGCAGCTAGTCCCAGTCCAATCCCCCTCAATGGTTACCCGACTCCTCTCCCCACTCCCCTTAACCCCGACCAACTCAACCTCACTCTCCGCGCCCCCTGACCTCCTCCCCCCAAGACTCCCTCCCAAATTACCATTCTTAACGGCCGCAGTCCCCTGCCAACTCGTATCCGGGCTGCCATTCGCAGTGCCATTCCTGGTCCCGTTGCGTCCCCGTCAAGTTCACAATGCTAGTTGAGAACGACGAGAACGGTTTCGCGACAAGCGCGAACCAGTGCTTGCCCTTAACCTCCATAAGTTTGGGCAGCGATAGCAGGGAAATGACGCACAGACCGAACGAGACCTCGGCGGCAACCCAGAGACCCAGCCACGCAATGTTGTACGAGACATCGGCGTTGGCGCCAGCCATGCGGAGGAGGTACATTATGATGAAGACGTTTGTTATGCACGCGCTATTTTTAATCATTAGCAAACCAATCTTTTTTCCCCTAAGTATACGCGTTGAAGAAAGTGGGGAGAGAGGGAGACGGCTTCAGCCTGGGAAATGGAGTAAAAAGCAGAGAGTGGACACGTACAGCAACCCCGTAGCAAAAAGCAGCACAATACTAATCCTCTTCTTCCTCGGGATCCTCAACTTCCATACACTCCTCGCAGGGAGGCCCAGGATGATAATGTCGCTCGCAATATTCCAAATACATGTAATCATAATCATGGTATTATTATCTAGACACTTGCCCGGTACAAGATTGTTCCAGGCCTTTTTGCGCAGGCTGCAGGCCCAGGCAGACACTGACATGGAGATGATGTAGTAGACAAGGGACGCGATAATAACGATCTTAGAACCGATGGAGAGGAAGGGGTTAACAGTACGGTTCGGGGCCAGGAGCAAGATGTATTAAAGTAGGATGGCGAGTTTAATAAAGTAGATTATTGGACAGTAGATTATATTTTAGATGTAGACATACTGTTTGCACAGTTTAGTTGGTATTCTATATAGCGGCATAAGGAAGAACTGTAAGAGACGGAGGAAGTCGATATATATAGAAAATGTTATTTAGATCGCTGCAATACAGATTCCACTAATAGACTCCGGCGCCCGCTTTGAACATTAACCTGCCCACTGCAATAATAGCAAAGAAACTAATCTAGTACTTCTGCTTAGTATTCCACTTAGCTTCCCTCCTCCTATAACTTACAAATCTAAGAGTCGCAATACCTGTTATTTATTAGTCTTAGCCACTACTATAAGCATATGCAATAGGGTAATCTATATAGTCTGTAAAGTCTAAGTTCCTTACTAGGACTATTCTAGTGTACAACCGGATTAAAAATAGCACGCCTGGTATAACTGTATAAAAATATAATAGCAATAATTATCTATATATAGTTAGGAGAAGATGTTAAGAATACCGTTATAACGCCAGGTGGCGGGTTAAGAGCAGGCGCTCTAAGCCTTTCAGCTATAGAGATCGCCGTGGGTATAAGGCTGGCGAGTAATAAAGAAGGCATAATAGGGCGTATTAAAATCTGGACGTGCGGCTCGGTTTAATAATCTATTGCGCTTCTTAAAGAAAGGTGGTTTAGAACAAGCTAAAGTAGTAAATAGCGGAAGAATATAATAAGAACGTAGGATATATAGCACTATACTATTTAAGTTGTATTATAAGGCTATAAATAAGGTAAGTAGATATAGAACAGCTAAGTAAAAACTATATTTATTATTAGCTATACTATACACTATATAGCTATAAATCGATGCTAGTATACCTATAAGCAACGTTAGCAATCTATATATATAAGCTGCGGATATAGAGTATAAAGCTAATAGTAGTGGATTCTTAGGGCTTAAAGGATAATTATTAGGGTATATAGGGCGGAGTACTATTGCCTAGGTGGTATAAAGTGGATTTAAATAAAAAGTTATATTAAATAAGCGTAAAGCTGTATATATAGCTATATAGAGAAATATATAGTAACTAGGATAAATATAATCTTACCGGAGAAATACAGGAGATTTTTATAATAGCGTTGTTAGTTTTACATTAAACAGTTATAGGAGACTGTGCCTTCTGCTACTCGGCTAGCAAATCTAGTAAATATATAGTATAAGTTGCAATACCGCTTAAAACAAATAGGCAAATACTAGTATACCGGGATATAAAGAGAACTATAAGTAAGAGGTAGTTATACGTAGTTTAGAAGGGGTTTTCTAGTTTTATAAGCCCTATATATTATAGCTTAATATTTCTTAATCTAGCTTTGCTATACCTAGTCCTTAATTAAGCCTGCTTTATCCGCAAGTATATATTCGCGCCTTTAGTATTTGGTATAAGAGTATCGGCGAGCCTAAGTTAGCCTAATTTATTCCTAACTAGGACTTTAGTAGCGCCTGTATAATAATATAATTAGCTTATTAAGGTTTAATTATATATAAAGATTAAATTCCACCTACTAAGTTCCTACTAATAAAAGTTGCCGTATATAGCTTTATATTACCTTTCGGCGCATAGTAAAGCTTATATATAACACTAATATAGGGATATTTACCCTTTTAGTAGCCGGTTAGAGCGAGTATATAAAGGGCGGTAGTAGTAAAGCTATAGAGGCCCTTTAGGTTTTTCCAGTATAAAATCTAGATAGTAGTTGTTCCTTTATAGGCTAAAGTATCTGCTATAGTTACTATTTATCTAAAATCTAGACAGGCAACCTATTAAAGCAAGTATATTAAAAACTGTAAGAACAATATATATCCCTATTTCTCGCGGTTTTTCTCGGCCTCGCGCTATATATTCTTAAAGACAACATCTAGCGGCGTTATACCTAGAGAAAGCTTTCTAAACAGGCTATCTTTTATTAGCTAAATTACTTTTACCTAAAGAACTGCGCAAACTTACTAATTAAGGCGCGCACTTAGTATAAAGACAACAATACTATTAGGGCTATACTTAAGCTTTATGTAACGGGTCGTCTCTTCTATACCTTCCAAGTGTCTCACACTACGGCAGGGTATAGGCAAGTCGTCGTCGGGGTGCAATAGTCTTCAAAAGGTGAGGCAATAATCAATCAAGGTCCAAGACGGGGTGGTTACTTCCAATAGGTAATATTGAAGTCTTGAGTTGAACACGAGGTTCCTATCCATGCAAAGGAGCGTCTCTATATACGAAAGCTCCGTCCTAAGAAATCTGTGGCTCAGTCTGATCCGTCCTTGGATCACCCTGATCCTTGAATGGTCCCTGGATCACCCTGATCCTCGAACAGTCCTTGGATCACCCTGATCCATCCCTGAATCGTGCTGATCCATCCCGTGATCTCTATCCTTAGATCGTTCCCATCCACCAGCAGTCCGTGGGGGAATCCAGGATCCCTATGCGTCCCTTACGTGACCCTCTGGGTCCCGTGACCTGGTTCTCTGTAATCAGTCTTATCTGCTTTCTTGTCTCCGCGAGTGCCTCTGCGCTCGGGTGGTTCGTATTACGGGTTGTAACACTTTACGGCAAACTGGCCGCGCTTAATATTAGTAAAGGAAGTTGTAAAAACATTGCGCGAGCTAAACGCTAACCTAATAAGGCGGTAGGCCAGCCAGGCAAGCGGGAGCAAGCAGCTAATATACAGGGGCAGGTACGCGATGCTAAAAAGCTGCAGGGCGGCGCTAAAGGCGAGGAATATAGGTATAGAAAAGTCGGACTTCTTAAGAATATTATAGAACTAGTTATAGATATCGCCAGCGTTTTTACAAAGCTGCTATAAGGCTATACTAAGGTATAATATAGCTAGTAAACTGTTAAGGTGTGCAGGTTGTAGGTGTAGATGCAGGTAAAATCGGGCGCCTTAGAATAAAAGGCCGCCTTCTAGTAACTGTGCAACTATAAAAGTGGCATAATAAATAATATAGATAACACCTGGTTGTCTGCTATACCGCTCTTATAAGCACCTATAGCACTATTAGTAAGCACTGCCTAGTACGCACTAATTATGCTACGGGTGCCTACTATAGCTATACTTGCTAACAATTAATTAAAACTTAATTAATTAATTAATTAATTAATTTATAAGCAATTAATTAAATTAAGTAAAAGGTCGAAAATTAACCAATTAATTAATTAGCTAATTTTTATAGATATATATAGGCTAGGCGTTAAGGGGTAGTAGAGTTAAGGCTGTAGGCTATAGGAATAGATGTATTATAAGCTAGCTTTATAAACCTGCCGCGCTTTTATATAAGCTCGCGGCAGGCTTATAAAGCTTTTATATAATAGCTTTAAGGTAACGTTAGGCCTTTAAAAAGCTATATCTATAAAAGCCGCTAAAAAGAACAATTCCTTATATAAATTGTATAAGGCTTGATTTTTCACCAGGACAGCCTTCTTTTAATTACGCTATACGGGGTAATAACGTTAAATCGAAGGCTCCAGCGCTACTACCTGCTATTGCCTAATTTAGGGTCTAATAGGCAGCTGCGGGGGAATATAATTAAGGGCAGTTAGGGAACAAAATTATTACCAGTCTTAGTATAGTGTTAAGTTTTAGCTTATAGCGATTTAATTTTTTAATATTTCTAGCTAACTTAGCGCTAAGCACCCTGCACCCTACTAACCCCTATAGGGACGCCTAACTTACTACAGCTCTAGGAAGTTAACTACTAATAGTCTTATTAATCTAAATAGTGTAATTAATGGCACCGCAAGCCCGACAAGCAGCCTGTACGAGGCGGTGCTACGAACCTGCTCCTACATTGTAGTGAGCAGAGCAGATGCTTGAGGCACGATGGAGCTGGTGATGGCGTTGTGGCCGTTCGAAGGCCCTCCACCGGACGACGACAACAACGAACCGCATCACCAGAACAGAGGAACAACCATCAAAATGGGTATGAAAACCATCCGACGTATGTCTACTTGTGTAGGAAGCAAGCCGAACGTGGAGCCGATGCCTAGGCGTACGATAGGACACCTCTGGGGTGGCGATGCAGAGTTTTCACCCTCCCCTCTATCGAAGCTCTCGTTAACTGATGGTGTCTACAGTGCCTACAGCGTCACCAAAGTCATTGGCGGTCAATTGGAGGACCTCAAACAGCGTGGTGCTCGCAGCCTTTGCCTAGGGGACAGCATTCTCATGGCGGTCAAGTGGAGGACCTTAAACAGCGTGGTGCTCGCAGCCATCGACAATGCCTGTAGGCGCCCATCGGCACGCGAGGAAGCCCAAAGCTCCTGAAGGGAGATGGTCACAGCCAGCATGGTGGGGGTAAT